ATTTATTTTAAGAACTGATCACTGAAAGGTTCTTTTCAAGAATTGCATTCTTTTAATGAGGCTTTTTTCCCTTCTCTATGATAGCAGGACATTCAAATTGTTTTACTAAAAAATATCAAAATGAAATTTATTTCATAAATAACTAAAAAATGTCCATCATAGAATAGAATAGGTGTATTCAAATCATGGTAGGTATGAATTGCATTTATGTATTTTAAAACAAATTATTGTTTTTAAATTTGTATATTACATTTTCACCATATTTATAAATAAATTAAATAAAGATGCAATGTTTACCAAAAGTAAAGTCATTTGCAGTTTTTAAGAGGTAGAATTGAATAATCACTAAAGCTCAATAAGTGAAATATCACCAAATAGAGCAACATCATTCATAAATGCTAATGACTGTTGGAGGCCAGTGACAAAAACATCTGTCCACATGATTGAATAAAGTGTGAGAAAATTATATTTAATTTTTATTACTGCTGATTTGGACTGAGTTCACAGTTTGCAGTTTCCAGTGTGTTAATAACCGTGGTGGATACCATTATTTACGAGAACATTCAACTGATTATAACTTACTTTATTCCATAACCTATTGTGCTGTCTATGGAGGAGGCACTTCATCACAGGCCATCAAAGCAATGCCCAAAACGCTCCCAATGTGAAGACTGAACCAAATGTAGGCAGCTTAATTATGCAGCCTTCCGAGATACTTCGCTTTAGCCAAATCCTAAGGCAGAACCACATAATCCAAGAATAGACTGCAATGAGTTTGTGAAAAAATAAATCAAAATATCTTAATAATGCATTATATATATAGGCTCCAAATAGAGCGGATTGTTACATTTTTCACGTACAACCGTTCCTCAATCAGAGGTAAAGATGGGCCAATTTGAACAGCGAGTCGGTGTCCAGGGGCCACATTAACATCTCTCTCCCTTCCACTGTCAGCTCAATCAGAGAGTTAGACAGTGCTTCATGACAAACAACCACAGAAAACACACACAAACATTCATAAACACACATGCAGAGACAAGCACTACAATTAGACTGAGGTAGACACACACACACACACACACACTCAGAGAGCAGATGCAATTACACAGGCAGGGGAAATGAGAGGTGATACACTGTTAGAGAGGTAGAGGCTGATAATGGACTAGAGTGCTGTGAGTGTGTATGTGAGCGTGCCCATGTGTGTGTGTGTGTAAACTGCCAGCTAGAGCTATTAACCTCTCATACTAATAACATACTTTAATGGCAACTTTGCTAGTTTGTTTTTTACCTTGACATAATTAAATACAGAGCTCAACACTTGATGATGGTATTGGGAAAAAGAGCACAATGAGACATAACCTCTTGTTTTTTGTTTTACCAAAACAGACACATTTATAGCGTGAATTGTCAGGCTTCCTCTGCTTAAAAAGCAGTATCTTATGAACCCGGTTTTACATATGAAGAAAATGTGAATGATGCTGGCCCATGAAAAAGTCATGCGTGTTGCTATAGTGCAATAGTGTCTTCTTAATGGGGACTAGGTGGTTACTTGCTGGCCCATGTCAAAAAGTCTAAAATTATTGTTTTAATTTAAGTAAAAATTTTAATCTCATAGCACAAACATGTTAGTAATACACTCACCTAAAGGATTATTAGGAACACCTGATCAATTTCTCATTAATGCAATTATCTAATCAACCAATCACATGGCAGTTGCTTCAATGCATTTAGGGGTGTGATCCTGGTCAAGACAATCTCCTGAACTCCAAACTGAATGTCAGAATGGGAAAGAAAGGTGATTTAAGCAATTTTGAGCGTGGCATGGTTGTTGGTGCCAGACGGGCCGGTCTGAGTATTTCACAATCTGCTCAGTTACTGGGATTTTCACGCACAACCATTTCTAGGGTTTACAAAGAATGGTGTGAAAAGGGAAAAACATCCAGTATGCGGCAGTCCTGTGGGCGAAAATGCCTTGTTGATGCTAGAGGTCAGAGGAGAATGGGCCGACTGATTCAAGCTGATAGAAGAGCAACTTTGACTGAAATAACCACTCGTTACAACCGAGGTATGCAGCAAAGCATTTGTGAAGCCACAACACGCACAACCTTGAGGCGGATGGGCTACAACAGCAGAAGACCCCACCGGGTACCACTCATCTCCACTACAAATAGGAAAAAGAGGCTACAATTTGCAAGAGCTCACCAAAATTGGACAGTTGAAGACTGGAAAAATGTTGCCTAGTCTGATGAGTCTCGATTTCTGTTGAGACATTCAGATGGTAGAGTCAGAATTTGGCGTAAACAGAATGAGAACATGGATCCATCATGCCTTGTTACCACTGTGCAGGCTGGTGGTGGTGGTGTAATGGTGTGGGGGATGTTTTCTTGGCACACTTTAGGCCCCTTAGTGCCAATTGGGCATCGTTTAAATACCACGGCCTACCTGAGCATTGTTTCTGACCATGTCCATCCCTTTATGGCCACCATGTACCCATCCTCTGATGGCTACTTCCAGCAGGATAATGCACCATGTCACAAAGCTCGAATCATTTCAAATTGGTTTCTTGAACATGACAATAAGTTCACTGAACTAAAATGGCCCCCACAGTGACCAGATCTCAACCCAATAGAGCATCTTTGGGATGTGGTGGAACGGGAGCTTCGTGCCCTGGATGTGCATCCCACAAATCTCCATCAACTGCAAGATGCTATCCTATCAATATGGGCCAACATTTCTAAAGAATGCTTTCAGCACCTTGTTGAATCAATGCCATGTAGAATTAAGGCAGTTCTGAAGGTGAAAGGGGGTCAAACACCGTATTAGTATGGTGTTCCTAATAATCCTTTAGGTGAGTGTATATTCACTATGAACTCAGGGGCATTTGAGGTTTGTGAGTAATAAAAAGCCAGAAGCCGGTCCTTTAAGACCTCACTTTGTGAATTCTTCTACAAAAGCGTACTTGACTCAGCACTGTGATGACAAATGTTATGGAGCTCGTGTGCTACACTATCATTAGCTACACCAGTAATTTTCCACAGTTCCATTTGTGTTCAATTGGCACTCGCTCTCTCTCCCCAGGGATGCCTTAATGTCTCTATAATATAGCATAGTATAGCTCGATCGCACATGAATCAGGCATCCCACTTCACAGCGTGCTTCGTGACTAAAAGAATAACTTTCATCAGCGCTTTTTTTTTTTTTTTTTTTGCTAACGCAAGCATTAATATCACTATTGTTCACATTTAGGTTTGTTCAAATCCCTAACCTGAAGTATTTCATTTTAAACAACTAAACAGAACATTAGCCATTACAATCAAACTTGTAAAAAATACCATAAACTTACATTGGAGGATCCGAGTCATATCTAGAGACCATGGGCCAGATTCGCAAAAATCTTCTTTAAAAATAAGTTAGGAAATTTCTTAAGATAAATACTAAGAAGCTCGTAATAATGTTCCTAAGAGCAATTCTTGAAAAAGAAAGTTCAAATATTATCTTTAAAAAAAGAAACAATGCTAAAAGTAACCATTCTCTTTCTTATTTAATTGTATTTTTCATTACTTTTTTTAATACTTTTAGTCAAATGATTAAATCATCCGTTACGTCGTCCTCTTTATTGAGGCTTTGTCATTTTTGCGTTCTTTGGCTAGGCAGTTAACAGTTTACTTCTGGTCGCCATTGCCGTTCCATCAGGAGCTGTTGCTTAAAGTCCTTATTAAAGGGAATATTTAAACAGTGAGCAGATTTTCCTTGTGTAATTAATTATAAAATCAAAAACAAGGTCTCGATTTGACTTTGAAGAGTTGTTACTGAATTTTGAATTCGAGTCACGAATATTCAATCATGACCGATCATTGTTTACATGATCAGTCATTAGTGTCACTTCAGAGTAAGCGTCAAGAGCAGTGAGTGATTTCCTCTTTGTCTTTTGTTCTTTGATTATTATTAATAACAGACAGATGGATTATTATTACAGGATTATTAGGCTACTGTCACTTTAAGATCAGACGCACATGACACGGATCTGACACGCATCACATTTTCTCACAACTCTTTACATTCACTTAAAGTCCACCCTGTGGTGAAAATCAAGCTTTTAATGTTGTTTATGTGTCTATGTGGTGTTTTTAATATGCTTTAAGACAAACCATGTGTAAATTCATAAGTCGACAGCATTGCTGAGTATTTTCTGCTTAAAATTGCAGTGAACCAAAGACAGTCTCAAAAACACGGTTTGAAATCGCTGGTGTTTCTGACGTCAAACTACCTTCTAACTAATCAGATCAACTTGTCATCGTCAACCAGTGGATCTCTGAGCTGAGTGAGTGAGTGAGTGGAGGCGGGGCTCATTTGCATATTCATAGAACTACGTATACTAAATAAGGCAAGGGTGTCGAGTTACAGTCAAGCAATTTTGAGGCATGAAGAATTTTTCTCAAGGAAAAAATGTTGGTAATCAAAGATGAGCTTTAAGGGATAAAATTATTGACTACAGGGGGACTTTAAGAATGTTTCGTCAATCCGGCCCCAGAATATCATAAACTTAGACATGGAGTAGTCAACCAGAACACCCTAGCAAACACATAACAAAAAAAATTACCCAGAACACATTAGTAACCGCAGAGCGATGCTCTGGAAACCACCTGTGATAGACTTGTGTTGGCATATTCTGCATGAACAAACACACCACAAGCATTTTCTTCAGAAATCTAGTTTAGCTTGCTTCACACGGGTTGATACCGAGTCCGACGCCAAGCTAAGACACATTTTTTCACTGATAAAACAAAAGACAGCTTTTAGTCCTATGGTGTGACAGACTTCTCGGACTTCCCCTCATAAATCTTTTTAGTTCAACAAACGTTATGGGATTTCCCCCTGAAAGTGGTTGAAGATTAACCTCGTTTCACCAGTTTCTTTTCCGACAAGCTTTCAAAGAGCCACGTCATGTTTAACTGAGACATGACATCGCAACACCCAATGCAACTCCCCTCCTTTCTCACCTGTTTAATCAGCATGTAGGTCTCGGACATGATCTTCTCGATGCGCTGCAGGTCGTAGGTCATGCCCTTCTGACCTTGCTGCCAAACCCTGTACGCATCCAGAAGCAGCGTCTTCCCAGACTCCACGTCATCCAGCAGTTTTCTCTTTCTGTTGGGTCTCTGTGGTAGCGTTAGCTCAGGGCTGCTGGGTAAAGGGTTGCTCGGCGTTGGCGCTGTGGCCATAGTTGGCGCTGCTTTAGCTGCGTTCACCTGATTCAGTAGCTGTAGCTGTTGCTGTTTAGAGCTAATGCTCAACTCCTCCAGCGACAGCTCCGTCGCCCGACTGCTCTCTGGGATCTTATCAACCTCCTCCGCTACTGATTTAACCATCGCCTGCTCTTGTGGGACAGTGTCAATTGGTGTTTGAGGGTCTCTGAATTTTGAAGCACCCGGCCATAATCCCAAGCCGAGCTCCATAGGCTCTCCAAGTCCTGAAGTACCTTCTCTGGGGTGAACTGTGACCGCTGTCACCTGAGTTAAAGGCTCCAGAGAGAGCTGAAGTGTGGCTGAATGTTGTTGAGGAATGGCAGGAGGTCCGGTCTCACTCCCTGTGAGCGTAGGGGTGTCGGGGAGTCCTGCTTTAGGCTGGCTAGTGTGTGAGCATTTGGGGTCTTCTGCAGCAGGAGGCCGGTTGGAAACATCCGCTGTGGTCATTTCACCCATAGAGGTGGTAGACGGTTTAGGAGGATCGCTTACCTGAGAAAGAGAGAATGAAAGAGAAACTGAAACACATATTCACACTATAAATGCGGCACAGAAGCCACATCTTAAGGCCAATTCACACCGCACAGACGAATGCCAACAAACAAGTTGGCCGTTAGAATTTAGAATTTTATGAAAAAATTTAGAATTTAGAATTTTTATGAAAAATAACTGTCATGTTCACACTGACCCAACAAACACTGATTGAACAATCAGTGTTTGTTGGGTCAGTGTGAACATGACAGTTATTTTTCATAAAAATTCTAAATTCTAAATTTTTTCATAAAATTCTAAATTCTAACGGCCAACTTGTTTGAAAACAAACCCGGACATGGCAACAGACACGACGGGGGTAACGCACTGATCCAACAAAACCTCTTTACGGTGTGAATTGGCCTTTAGAGACCCTGATATGCTTTTTCATTCTTTGCTTTGAAACACCTATACAGCTTTACAGTGTTAAACATGAAACAGATGGAAATTACAATTTCCGATTTCTACTATAAAGCAGCTCTCCACTGTGTTCATGTTTTACTCGCGTCTGATCACAACGGACTAAACAGGAGAAATTAACCGGAGAAGAATAACCTATTACATCATTGCCACGGACCAACAGTCGGCCGGAGGGACTGCGGTTACACACATCGAGTGGCAAAAAGACTGAGCGGCAACATTGGTTTTCAGCGTGAATGCCGCGAAACACACACAAAACACATCTAAAATGGGACAGAGCTTTGAGATTGACTGTACAACTACATTTGACAAGAAAGCCGAGGTATATTTTTACAGAGTGCCGAAAGTTACGGAACAGAGAAGCAAATGGATCGCTGCGATTCACAGAAACGACTGGATCCAGGCAGCGAGAGGTGGATTTGCTGTTATTTTGTGTCAATATGCCTGGATTTAGGGGTAATATCATACCCTATATATTGTATTGGTATGTATTATATTGACAACTCAAAAATTAAATATTCACCATTGTATATTCTTCATAATTGGATGTTTTTAAATAAACACTGATCAAAAACTATACAAGTTTTAGCGCTGGACGATATGATGATATAAATAACATTGATATAAGTGATCACACAGATTTAGACCTATATATAAAGCGTTCACAGGCAAATTTGCTTTATGAATTTCCCTGCACATATAAATGAAAGGAAACACGATTCCTGCTGCATGTCAATATCCGTGGATCACTGGATCTTTGGTAAGTTGTAAGGAACACTATATCGAGCTTTAGTTTAAACTGATAATTGTTTGTTTTACTCGTGGTTTCCTCTATTAAATCCAGTCACTCAGCAGCTCTTCTGCCACTCAGGCTGAGGGAGTGTGATCCGGCGGGAAAGTGACCTCAATTCATACGCTCTATAATTTAAAGGTGTTTACCAGCGGGAGCAAACTTTTCTGGGAAGTTTGCTTTGTGAAGCTGTTTTGATCTCCCTAATTAACTTCGCTTTGGCCTGATTATGTTTGAAATGACGTCACATCTGTTCTTTGATTTCGCTTGAAGTATATCGGAGTATAGTTGTCATGTGTATAAAATCACTATGAAAATGGCTAATCTTGATTCTGCTGAAAGAAAACAATACAAGTGATGATATTTTCTGACTAGTGTGACACTAGAAGTGAGAAAGGTCACAAACGCAACATTTATATTCAAGTTTTCCTGCAATTAATCTGTTCTAACTTAGCAATGCAACGACGTTTAAAGAAAGAAGCACAGGCACCAAGTTAAGCGATGCTATCTCTGTTCTTCGAGCAGTCAGGATGGCATTAGCTAATGTGTTAGCACAAACATAAGCGTATCCTTGGCTGTCAGAGCTGGCTTGAGTCTCATTTCCCAAACATGGCAGTGTCTCCATAGGAAACATATGACACCAAGGCCACTGTTCAGCTTCTATTTCTGATTTCTGGGGTATAATAAAACAAAACACACAATAAAAAAAACAAAAATAAAACCTTCTAAAACAAACCAAAAACAAATGAGAACATTAGTTGTCATACCCCTGTGAGTTTATCCAGATTGTCCTCCAGCACTTTTACAGTGAAGCAAAACGCTCGCTTGGCCAAAACTTGTCGGTCCACATCTCGCAAGTACTTCCTATAACACACAATATACACAAATATATGATATGTCTTTGAATGAAAATGCTTTATGCAATGTTTCACATAATAATACAAAATCTTAGCTGTATGTAGGTTAAACTTCGCTGTACTACTTAAAGTTATTGACATGTTAGACTGTTATTAAATCACAACAAGCCGCGAAAAACACAGCACAGATGCATGCGATCCCGAATTCAGTTCTCTTTCACAGCTTATTGCTCTTAAATGGTCAAATATAAACACAATGATGTCAAAATGCACATTGTGTGGAGTATTCACATAAAGAGTCTGTTATGTCCTACGTGAACGTAAACAGTTGGGAGCAAATCGGATGTGTAACAGTGTACTAGATCGGTGCATTTGTTCTTAAAGAGACAGCAGCCTAATAAACTGTGGCAGTCTGTTTTAATTTAATTAAAAAACAGAAAATCACTCACTGCTTTTGACAATCACATTTGTATCTTTTTTAGGAATATATCAATTTAAATTGAATTCTGACAGTGAAGATTATACAATGTTTTCATTGATTATTCACATTTTGTAGTATTTCTAAAGACATGTTAAATAAAACTAGGCTACTGTACGTGAAAAAACTTTTTTTTTTTTTATTGTATTTGTCCTATTGTTGCTTTATTTTTCTTTTATTTACCAGTGAAAAAGTTATTTTTGTATCAATTAGTTTTACTTATGTACTAAGTAGTTTTTCTATTAGTCTCAGGGCTGCCTTGCCTTAATACAGAAGACTGCCACTAACTAAAATGGGAAGAAAAAAACAAAATAAATTTCAAGGTTTAAAATTTATTCAGTGGGATTTTTTTCTACCGCAGTCAAATAAGAAAAGTAACACAAAACAGTAAACTACAATCCAATGCATACATCGAATTGAAATTTGATTCAAAATCGAGAATTGATTTTTAATCGAATCATTACCTCAAGAATTGATTTGAATCGAATGGTAGACTTTTTCCTAACATTTCACACAATTATTCGAATATGCAACTTTAGAGGAGGATAATTTAACAAGCGTTAGGCAACACTACATTTTAAGAAGTTAAGCTAAAATAATGGTGTGGGATTTACTTGCAATTTCTGAGTGAAAATTGTTTCCTAGTTTTTTTTTCCAAGTAAATTTCACACAATTACATGTGACATTATAAAGTAGAAAGATTAAAATAGTATTTTCATGCAACATACTATAATAAAATAATGTTTTATTTACAACTTTTGTAAAAGTTTGTAAAAACATTCGGTAACACTTTACTTGAAGGGGTGTGCATAAGACTGACATGACACTTTCATAATCATGACATGACACATGTCATTAATATGAAGGAAGTTGAATGCATGTTTATGACAACTGTCATTAAGTGTCATTCGCTCAATTATGACATTTTTAATGCAAATATGACATTGTTTGAGATGTCTTTGTTATGACAACTTGACATAAATACATCATAACCTGTCAGTGTCTTGGTAATGACAACTTGACATAACCAAGACAACAAATTGTCATAAATATGTCATGAACATGACATAGCAGATTAATTATCAAACTTAAGAAACCACTTAGCTTTATGGGTTAAGATTACATTAAACTGTCATGTGGTTGGTTTTGACATTGGCTGTCATGAGGCCAATATAACATTTTAATGACAAATTCAATTTGTACGACTGTAGTTGAGGTCAAGAAAAATATTCATGACACAGTTATAATGGCCTCATGACAGCCAGTGTCAAACCGACCGCATGACAGTTTAATGTAATGTTAACCCATAAAGCTAAGTGGTTTCTTAAGTTTGATAATTAATCTGCTATGTCATGTTTAGGACATATTTATGACAGGTTATGTTGTCTTAGTAATGTCAAGTTGTCATAACAAAGACACTGACAGGTTATGATGTATTTATGTCAAGGTGTCATAACAAAGACATCTCAAACAATGTCATATTTGCATTAAAAATGTCATAATTGAGCGAATGACACTTAATGACAGTTGCCATAAACATGCATAAAACCTCCTTCATATTCATGACATGTGTCCCCCCTTGCACACCCCTTCAAGTAAAGTGCTACCAAACATTTTTACAGTGTACACCCCCATTTCCTGTAATAAATATGTATTATTTAATTAAACAACAAAACAAGGTAAACAAATCAATGAATTGAGATATGGTGTTCTTACTTTCCCTGGTCGGGGGTTCTCTGAAGCATAAGGGAGATTTTGAGTAATGTGTGGTGATCTTTCAGTTGAGACAGAACATCCAGCAACAGCACGATGGATCTGTTCATATGAGATGCAAAACTACCAGGACGATCGATCTCATCTACTGGAATACGCCAGATGCCCTGAGGAAGAGAAGGAGAGAAGAGGAGTTGAGGTATCAGGACAGCTTTAGACCCAGCGTTGGCTGTCAGATCGGGCCCCGTTTTCATTCGACAAACAAGCCACGGGAAAACTGATGCTAACAAGGCCACTGCTGAACTTCTCTACACAGCAAACTCCAGGAAATACATACTTAGAAACACAATCCAGTGCCTCAAAAACAACTTCCATTGTGCAAAACAAACCTCTGGGAAAGTCCATTAACATTCACAAGAGGTAAACATGCGGAAAGAATGAGTGGATGACTTCAGACAGTTTAGTGCTCATAGGAGAGGGTACAAATAAAAGAGAGGTGGTGCAGACAAAGAGAAAATGGAGAGAAGCTGAGGATTTGTATTGTCGTAAGGCCATCTGCTCTTGGCTCTTGATGCGCTGGTCTCCGGCCATGAAGAATATCTGCCCACTGATGAGAAATCTGTCTCAACCCACTCTCTCTCGATCCATCTCTCTAACCCTCTGCTTCATCTCGAGCTGCTCATCTTTCCCTCCAGTCGTGCTGGACTGAAAACAGCACACCAAATGAAGCTATTGACAATGAACAGAGATGGCAAACTAAAGGCGGCGCCAAGAGGACATACTCTAGTCTACGCAAGTGCGCAGACACTTCTAGTTATGCAAGCTCGATTTCACGTGGCACTGCATTCTGAAGCGACTCAAAGCGCAGTACGATGCATTCTCAGGATGACTGCAAGCGCGCCACAGCAGACATTAGCATAAACGTCGTCTTTTTCCCTTTTAGATCAACCGCTGTATTGTCATAGTGGAGCAACAGTTTGAAGAAAATCGAACCGTCTCTTAGCGTTGATTATATGCCAGTGCCGCATTAAAGTCAACGTGAAACACGTTTTATTTCTGTAATCAGGATATTTAACAAGAAAAACTTTGGGCAGGGCTTGATTTTAATCATTGAGAATTGATTGAATCACGAAAAGTGGGTGATACCTACTAGAATTCAACCAAATGGTTCATTAAGCATAGGGCACAGGGCAGCAGCTGAAAAATGAAAATCATTTCTATACACTATTGTCCAAATGTTTTTTAAAGAAGTCTCTTATGCTCACCAAGGCTGCACTTGATGAAAAAAAAAAACTAAAAGCAGTAATATTGTGACATCTTATTACATATCATTGTTAATTGTAATAATGTTTCACCATATTATTGGTTTTACTGCATTTTTTAAAATCAAAATAAAGCAACCTTTGCGAGCGTAAAGGACCTTTTTTAAAAAAATCTTAATTATTCCAAACTTTCTAATGGTAGTGTAGAATAAATTTAACCCAATTTTTCCATCTTTGGACTATTGCACATCACTAATTATGCATAATAAAACAAGTAACACGATTTAATAAAGTAAATAGGCTCAGTATTTTATGCATGAACAACGGAATGCGCTCTTGCAATACGTTGGACAAGCAATGGCGCCTTTTTCTTCTAAAAAAAAGAAAGAAAATTCAGCTTGATTTTTTGCTTTTACATTCAAGGGTGGAAAATGGAAGAACAGTTTGAAATTCGATCTCTACATGTGGGCGGGAATGAAACGCCCCTTTCTGTAGTGTGCCAAAGATGTAGACTAGGGGGTAGCTTTGAGTGCAGATACAAAGTAAATTAATATTAATGAGATAAACTAATATTTCACACGCAGGTTGCCGAATTTATGCCTACACACCCTGTCTATGGTACAACTAATCTTGGTGGTTTGATGAGAAAGATGAAATGTAGTTGCAATAAACGCTTTAAGAATCCGTAGCAGCAGATTAAAGGCACACTATGCAGGAATTCTGTTTTTGTCAAACAGCGACCCCTAGAGTCGCACTTGTATTTAACGTTACTGTCGTAAATACCACTCACGCAGAGCGTCTCTGCCATAGACTGGTCTCTGCACTCACAGCCTGATACCCCTTTGAAGCTGTTATATTAAGGTACAAATCTTGCATAGTGTGCATTTTTTGCATTAAATAAGAGATCTAGCACTAAAATGTGTTTTTGAACTCAAGCTGAGCGCTCGTGTCCGCTGCTATCAGTGTCATGGATACATAGTGTATCTTGTGGCGGCGCGCGCGCAGTCTTCACTCGGACGCGCTCTTCAATCTATCGCAGTTGCGGAGACTCTCTATTCATTCCGGTGAAATCACAAAATAAAATGCACAAAAACATGTCCCTGCTTGATATAGACTGTAACCACTGATGAACATACTCAGTTTTGATGAGAGAGAAAAAACGTAGAACCTGTAACCTCTGACACGCTTGGCAAAAGATCTACCACTAGACCATTAAAGGACTCAAACAAAACTTGCGGATCGATGCATTTATTTACGGGTTGAGCAGAGAGGCTCATTCTCTTTTCCTTTTCCTAGTCTCTTCCGACCGCGTTTTCTTTGCTTTTTCCATCGTCGAGTATCACGTCTGAAATGCGCGCAAGTGTCTTCGTGCTTCATGTTGTGGTTGATGTGTGTGACGTCGTTGCCGTAAAGCATGTCGTGACACTCGCGAGATTTGTCGGGGGCGCTTTGCTACCAGGCTTTCCTACCAGGATGATTCGCCCTACTATGAGTTTGTTTACCACCGAAATGACTTTGAAGCTGTTATATTAAGGTACAATTCTTGCATAGTGTGCCTTTAATATTATTCTGTTGGACGGAACTGAGAAACAACTGATGAGACGGTTTGATGTTTGGTTGACCAATCAGTGGAAAGAGGCGTTTCATTCCCGCCCACATGTTGAGATCGAATATTCAAGCCGTTCATTCATTCGTTCGTCCTCTGAACGTAAAAGAAAAATCGAGCCAGTTCTAGTTTTTTTTCGACAAAAAATGACAAACGAAAAAGGCGCCGTTTTCTAATATGTCTGCTTTTAAAATCAAATCAACAAGTGATTGATGGGAAGACACCCTGATTGCTCTGGTCAGGACACTTTCATCCTTCAGTGGTGTAAACATCAGTCTGTTTCCCAACTGAGAGCTGTAAGCATGCAGAGCTGTACGTCTCTGCGGTCTTGATTTCAGTGATCACTTTTCTGCAGTCAATCTTTCGAATTGCCCTAGAAAAGGACACTGCTTCAGTTTGGCCTGCCAGACGCCCATGTATGGACATGTAGACATTCCAGAAAATGTAGGTAACGGCATTAAAGCACGTGAAAACCGAGGAACTTGACGGAGGGGCGAACTAAAATATGCAGGAGTGAGAAAAGAGAGAATCTGAATAAGAAGGAAATGCTAATTGAAATGTTGGATGTTTCCGGAAACCTGGATGTTTATTTGCATGCAGAATGATCTGCAGCTGCTAGTCATCCAATTAAAAGCACACTGAACGATTCGATCCAAAAGGCAGACATCAGGAAAACGAGAAGAAGAGCGGAGGGAAAGGAGAGAAACTGGAGAAGAAATTTAGCTGGTGGATTGTTTAAAAAAAAAAAAACTAATAAACTTCATATTTTGTGAAGGAAGTTGTGAAAATCAGCTTACTCGAGTCACATGCACATATCACATGTGATATACCTAAACAATTATTCGTTATTTTTCATCCTTTTGGCAAAATTTGATTTACATCTCAATATTTAAATGTTTATAAATATGTCTTAATGTCATTTCAAATGTCATTTCAAAACAGCCATTGCAGCCAATTAGATTTCTGCATTCCAGTATTATACTATAATTTCTGCACAATTATTAACAAATAAATGTATTAATAATTAATAAATAAACATGATTTAGTGCTTCCTTGGACTCCAATGATGTCCGTATAGGTTGATTTCGTTTCGAAATTACAATTTACGTGCATGATCTGAATGTCGTCATTCACTCACCCTCAATTTGTACCCTCAAAATACAATGGAAGTCAATGGGGTCCAACAACAGTTTGGTTACCAACATACTCCTCCTGTTCAACAGAAGAAACAAACTCATACAGGTTTGGAACGAATTGAGGGTGAGTGAATGACGACAAATTATGAGAAATGAATCAGACTTACCAACTCTAATGCTTTTTTTTTTAAACTTCTGAATTTTAAATCAGAAACGTTAATACCCTCATACTCCTAAATTGCCAGACTAGTCTAATGAAATGCACTCAATGAAAATTAATGTCCAAATAAAATCATTCTGACATTAAAAAAATGGCCTAAAATATGCAATGAATATTCAATATATCACCCAGCCTTTCAAAGGCCAGCATCAGTGGCTAATGCCGTAACACACAGTTTTAAATGTGAAACAGCAGTCAGAGAGAGATGCTGCCAAGAAGTGTGTGTGTGTGTGGGTTTTGCCCTTTCACTGCAGGATTACCCAAAGCCCCTCCACCAGGACACAGTACATGATGGATACGGGAAAGAGAAAGAGGGGCGTGTCCTGATGGATGGATCTGGGAAAGGAGCGTGTCCTGATGGATCAGTGGAGGAATGCTATTAGACAGGTCTTTGGCACAGGACCCTCAAACTGCTGTGCCACAGTCCAAATAACACGGCTTTACGGCCAGATTACACACACACACACACACCAGCTCAGTCATTCCTGCACTCCAACAACTGTACTTCTGATCAGCATTAAAAGACGTGGGTTTGCCTCAACTGTGGATTTCGCATTTATAATTTCCAGATAATGTTTATTTTTATGTTAATAGTATTGATTAATGTTAATACAAATTATTAATCTCAGATTTTCAATATGCCTGTGTCTGCAACAGATTTTCCTTTAAAAATGTAGTGCATTTAATTTGATGTTAACAGGTAAAGCAGTCCTCTGGTGAAGTACTTGTTATATAGTTACAAGACAGCAATTACTTTATATAATATATAATTTAAATTTGCAATGCAGTTGCAACTGAAAAGCAGTTGCAACTGCATTGCAAATTTAAATTATATATGTATGTGTATATATATATAGATATAGATATAGTCATAAAGAACAAACTTCAGCCTTTATTTCAAAACACTGAAGTTTGAAATTTGTGAGTTTTAACTTGTGCAAAA